TTTTCGTTAATTGTTATAAAATAACGATTATAATTTCAGAGGATTTTACGGAACTCATGCAAAGTTGTTTTAAATTCATTTTTACACTAAACTGTAACATCTGACTACGCAATTCAAATTTTGTTTTCAATTTTTCTTGATTAAAATATTATTACATGCATTATTATAATTAATATTTGATTTCATTAGTGGCTGAATTGTTAATATAGTCAAAAAAAGAGAGCTTTACTCGAATTCAATTCCTGTTGCATGGATATACTGGTGCATGAGATGTTATATCGGCTTGTCTGATGGGTAACTGAAGTACGAGCCAACTTAGCTCAGAAGCTTCCCTTGCCTTAATCAAGCAGACCTCGGGCATTTTGCTGTAAAATAACAAAAACTAGGTTGATTGTTTATCGAATTTACTTCTGTACAGTGAGTTTACAAAGAGCGAAATGATAAAACCCCGATATTTGAAGAAAAGAGCACTCTTCCATTGTTAAGAAGCTTTCATTTATTCTTTCTGACGTTATACATCTTTTGGCATGCTTACAGATCTTTTAGACTGTTTCGTAGGAATCAACTCTTGAAAAATTTCATTACCCTATATTTGCAGCATTTTGAACTTCTGGAATGCTTTCAAAATCGGGTCCTTCGAGTTGAGATTTTACTTTATTATTCAGCTGGTAACATGAATGTGCAAAAGTTAAAGAATAAACGAAATGATTAAGAATAGTTACACTTTTCTTTTGCTGAAAACTGTGTGAAAATCTGAACTGTGACAAGTAAACGTTCTACCTTTTCGCTATTCAGTCATGAAAGTTAAGTGTCAACCTCTTAAACTCCAACAAAAACTTCCATTCAGTCTAAATGCATTACCAAATCCAGGGACCCAGTTGCCAAGCCTAGGGGATTTAGTCCGGCAACATCGTAGGAAAATTTAGGCTTTTTTTGAACTTTGAAACACGAAATATCAATGATGCCTTCGTTAGGATTTTCCCGAACATCTAGATTCGTGCCATTCGTGCCTTCGATATCACCACCATAGCCCGCAGTGAGGAGGAAAAAGAATTATTACAAGATATGTCTATCGTTCTAAAAATAGTAAAACAGTTTGCGAACAGATTGAAACACTTCAACAAGGACTTCTCATTTGTGTTTAATGTGGTTATTTATGGATACAAATAAACTGCTCTTGTTCTGTATGCCTAAAGTTGTTGCTCGGAATGCAGATAAGTATATCTCTACAAATTCAAATTTTCAGTTTTTGTAGGTTGAGCAGACTTTTGTGATTTTTTTCTATTTGCAATCCAAGCACAGTGTTGTTTTGCAGATGGAAAAGCAAACGTATTCTTATGATTTTGCCTTGTTACTCATAAGCGGCATATGATTTTAAGCGGCGTATGTTAAGCGACAAGAAAGTGAATCGAAACATAACATAGTAGTCTTTGTTGTAAAGAAAAGTTTTAATTTGGATAAGAAATATCATAGTAATTTAAAAAACAAAACAAATATAGTTGTTTTTTTTGTCTTAATTCCTCCGCACTTTCTTGTAAAGAACCAGAAATAAAACAACACAAGAAAAAGTGGAATAGCATCCTACACTATGGAGACATTGCATTCATTGTAAGGAAGTTATTTTAAAATAAAACCTGTTGCATTAACAAACGGGAGTTTTGTTTTTCGTCCATATAAAATGTGATGACCAACATTTAGAAACACAATAATTTGTTATTAAATTTTTAGTTAATTCACTCTTAGTAATAAGCTTTGTTTTTTTTTCTCCACGCTGTGCTACAACTAAACCTACTTATCGTTTCATTAAATGGATGCATATATCCTTTATTTCTAGCTCTGTATCTTGTATTTAATAACACTACTATGCAAGAGAACACGAGTGTAGCTCCGAGTGTTTGAAAGCGTTGGGAAGAAGGGGATTGAAATTAATGTCATTACCAGAAATGAAAACTTTTTATGGATATGAAATGCATCATGGAAACCCACCAAGTGAAGTTCATCAACTGAAGAAATTTTATGTATTTTTAGAAGCAACTGGAGACTTTGGTTCTGAGAAAATTATCTGTAAAATTTCATGAGTTTTTATTACGCTGGATTTACTTGAAATCTTTCACATTCACAAAACTTAAACTATTTTAGTTAATGACACTGTCTTCAGTCCATTTCCTCCCATATCTTTCTATAAAAATGGAGGCCTTACAAAAACCACTTTTGTAAAAATTTATTGTTCCTGAAGAAGAAGGACTGTCTGACTGCCTTCAAAATCGATACAGTTTTATTCAAAATCTACGCAGATTTAAAATTGCTTTTTTTTGTCTGATTTTACTTGGGCGTGTTTCTTTTCAAACTAGGATTTGTTTATTATTTTGAGCATTAGAAAAAACGCATATTTTGAAATTAATTTTAAAACAAAACTTAATTAAAAAAATTAATTACTGATTGTTAAAAATGCACTTCGTAGTGGGAAGATATTTTCTTAAAACTGTGAATATATTTTAAACAATAAATAAATTAAGTTACATTATAAATTATTAAATTTTAAATAAAATTAAAAGCTACTGCTTATTACATGCTGAAGGGCCGTTTAACGAACTAATGAACTTCAGTCTGGCATACCTGGTGTACTTTATTAATATTATTATTATTTAATTAACTTACATACCATATTTCGCTTTATATAATGTAATAAAATAATAGGTTAATACTCCAAAGGTTATGTGAAAATCTATAAACAGGAGATTTACAGTTAACTAATTTCACATTTCCGATGTTAAGTTTCTAAAGATATGGATATTTAATCACTGCTGCTATTCATAAATGAAAACATATATTTTTAGGATATAACATATTTCTTTGCATTAGCATATTGTTGGTTATAATTTCCCTATTTCTTCAGACAAGCATCTTAGCTTTTATCTTTATGCCTAAACAAGTTATTAAAAAGAAAAATGCATGAAATATTACCTTATAATGTATTTCTCCCGCTTTCTTAGTGTGCCCTCGGGGTGCACGCTGAACGCTGGGCCGGTATTCCAGAGGTCCGTGGTTCGATTCCCGGCGAAGGCGTTTGCTCATTTTTCATCTCGCCTGCTACCAAAAAGTACTTAATGTGTTTACAGTGTCGCCCGAACTAAAAGGGTGTTGGATGAGAATTCTCCACACCCAGGATTTGGCGATTGGGTACCCTGAAAACCCCAGTTGCCCTTTAAAAAGGGGAGTATATAAGGTATTTCTCCGGCTTTCTTAATGTGCCCTCGTGGTGTAGTGATTACGCACGCTGGGACGGTATTTCAGAGGTCCGTGGTTCGATTCCCGGCGAAGGCGTTTGTTAATTTATTATCTCACCTGCTACCAAAAAGAACCTAATGTCTCCACAGCCTCATGCTAAATTTAGTACGCAGCACGAAAATGGAACAAATAGTCTTAAATCTTGAATGATGCTCTATCTTTATATTGTTTTTCTCTAGTTCTATCAGTTGGAAGTTCATTTAAGCATAAAAAATATACATGAATGTGTGTTCAGCGAGGATTAGAAGATATGTTGAGTTCAGTTAAATGTATAATAAAAATGGACATGTATTCCTTGGAGCTGCCGTGTAAAATTTTAATTTAAACATATCTGATAAGAAAAAAATATTTAGTATGAAATTAATTTTGATATTTAATGCATTATATTTTAATAATTAATTTAAATAATTAAAAATGCCCATTATCGGGCGAGCGGTGAAGTCACTGAATAATTTCGATTCCAGGGGGAAGGCTTGCCTGTATGAGCATTTTCGTTGTTTATCTCATGTGTAACGTCAATCCGAGACATTTTCCCATAAAATGTAATCCATGAAGCATTCCTCCTCTTATGCAGATAGCCCTCGCGTACTTTGCCATTATCAAATAAACTAAACTAAGTAAGTGAAGTTTAAAAACAATTTATAAGCTTACTACCGAAATGTAAACTCCGTTGATCTGAATCATCTTTACAGAGAGACAGATTCAGACCCAAGAAGCAAGCATATTTGGTCTTGCTGCCATAAGGTTCGGCACAAAAGACAGATTAGGTTAATTTATTAATTCAAAACAATAGAACGCTACGTGTAAAAAGAGAATATCTTCGTGAAATGCATTTTAATGGGTACAACCTCTTACAAGGAGAAAAAGTCTTTTTGTTAAAAACATCGTCAGTGTGAAGCAAATTCTACCGATACCTAACTGTCCCATCTTTATGTTACATGAGGACAATTTATACTCCAGACTACATATTCCCGATTGACATAACGGGACTAATACATGTAGAGTTTAATAGCCCTAGAGTAGGGCATTGATCATTAACTCGAGGATCGTAATTCAGTTAACACTCGATTAAACTATGAGCCGTATATATGTACTATTTGTTTCGTTTTACTCCAGCATTTTTTTATTTCTGGAAACATATGCAAAATTTACTGTCAGATAAGTTGATACAGTGTTAAAATGCTGTAGGTATAAACTTTTGGAAGTCAACCTACAAGGTGTTTCAGAAAAAAAAAAAAAAAAAAAAAAAGTTGCTTGCAAAATCGTTATTTAATACCATTCGAAAGTGTGCAATATTTCTCCTGATAGATAAACAATGAAAATTCGCTACGGCAGGTATTTATGTCTGCAGCCTAAATATATATATATCCATCAAAATCATAATCAGTTACGTACTTGATTTATTTAATAAATCCTCTGAAAAAAAGCAAATGCAAGTGCAGGGGCAGCCAACGACCAGGGGCAGCCATGAGGAAATGAACAAAGACAGATAATAGGCTGAGCGCAGCTGAACACGCAAACGTATTTATGTAATATTTTGTTCTTTTTTCTAACACAAGAGATGTGACCTGTTTTTATATTGCAAAAAATAAATGATTTTATAAGCAAGTGAATTTTGCTTTTCTTTTTAAGACAGGCTTGAATGCTTTTGTTAATTTTTTTAAATATTTGTCTATATTCCTATGAATCTGAAATTATTTTTTTTCCTTTAGGAGTTTGTATTGGGTCTGTCTACTATTTCTCGAGGTTCACCAACAGAGAAACTCCAATGGACATTCAACCTTTATGATATCAATGGTGATGGATGTATAACTAGAGAAGAAATGAGGGAAATCATCAGTTCCATTTACAACCTCCTGGGTCGCTTTACAGAACCTTCTGTTTCAGAAGAAGCTACAAGGGATCATGCTGATAGGGTGTTCGACGTGAGTTAATACACTAATCTGGTTGACAATACTGAAAATCATTTGACATAAAGCTCATATTATCTCCTAGTGTGAAAATTTTCTGGAAAAGCGCATAAAGTTTAACATGACATTGAGCGATATTTTTTCATTCTTGTTTGAATTAATTTCTATAATCCTAACCAAGTTATATAAAAAAAAACTATCATTACTCGAGATATAAGATTTCTTTGTATACTTTTAAAAATATATTAGTTTAGTTAATGAAGATTTGCACCCACGCAGGCTGTAATGGTTCTGCAGCCACGTAGGCTGTGTTTTTATACTTTCTACCACTCTGTTATTTCCCAGTTATGAACGTTGGGCTTAATGTGTTGTCCTCTTTCCAGGAAGATAGTTTCATATTCAGCCAGAAGGCGGTTTCTTGTAACAAATAGAACCATTTTCATATAATGGAAAGACACATGGTAAACATATCTCTGATTGGAACATACGTGGTCTCAAATCAAATCAATAATCAAAGCATGTAATGTTCCTTTCAATATCTACTTTTACCACAGCATTTTTATTCTTGGCAACATGTTAAAAATTCAATATCTTGCATCAGAGTAATACCCGTTTTTCAAGCATCCAGTAGTTGTTAGTGGAAAAATTCAAAATTTAACACATTTTTACTTATAACCTATGAATACTAAATTTTTTATCATTAAGAAATCAGATTTTTGACAAAATTTGTAGTTGGTATAATCTAATTTTCTACCACGTTTATATCCATTTAATTGCCTATTATATTTAGCAATAGTTCTGTATTTGTACTTCTATGTTTTAATTTCCTTTATGTAATTTTTTTCTGATTTCTGATGCAAGCCGCAAAAACTGGAGCCCCTGGGATCATGACAAGCATTTAAACTTGAATATTTTATGCATATAGAAAACGTTATGCCTATAAAATGGAGAGTTCTAAAATTTGTGCCTTGCAAGATCTTCGAGTTACAGCTGCAGATTACTGCAAGATCTTCTAAAACTATTCTTATGTTGATTCATTAAGCATAACAAAGCCTTCGAGGGCTATTTGCCAAGGGATGTGAGCTGTCTTAACAGAGTGCTTCCTAAAGAAAATGGGCTTGCATTTACGTTACATATGTGAAGTATAAATATCTTTTGCAGCTGACCCAGTCAACCGCCTAAATCTGAAGTAATACTTGTTTTCCGCGACTTTCCACTTGACACTGGTCGTTCGTAGTGGCGTTTGTAAATACACCCAGTGCATTAATTTGCGGCATCTTTTATTAGAATTTTCTATTCTATTTAATTGTCCACCATTTGTTGTGAAGCAACATGTGCATAATATTGACAGACAGGGGTTTCGCACATAATATTGTTTAGCCGCTACCAAAAGTATATGCAGAATACGTTTAAGGTGAAAAGACTAAAATCGACAACTTGTTTTGAAATTTTTAAGGAAAGGGAAAATTTGGAAGATTTTGCATTTAAACTATCGCATGTAAAATTCCCTAAAATCTATTTTTTATAGATCTCAAATGCAAATTTTGAAATCTTAGATACAGGAAGCAATTATGCTCATCAAATAAACATGTTAAATAAGTATATAACTAAATACTAACTTAAATAAATTACAGAAACTATGTACGATGTTTTATGTTTTAATAGAAAGCAAAATAGCTTAAATTCTTTCGGAAAATTTAAATTTCAGTTGATAAATCTTCGTATGAGGATTTTTCAGTGAACCGTTTCATTCTGTTTGATTTGAACAAACGACCAAAATAATATTTTTAAAAAGAGGAACGTTCCCTGTTGTGAAATTGCTTGAATTCTTGTTTTTAACAGCAACAAACTTCTCTGAAATTATTCAAAATGTCCGCAGAACTATGCGATGTAAGAAGAATCTGCGAGTTGCAAGCGATTTTGTTTTCAGTCAGTTACAAGCAATGCATTTGTCTGCAACATAGCGAAGCAAAAATGTTCTTTTTTATGCTTCATATCCTATTTAAAATACAGTGGAATCTTTTGAAAATTAAAAAAAAATTAAAATGTCGCTTTACCAAATAAAGTGCATCAGAAGCCATGGCTTAAATTTGAAAAGTAACATATGAGATGTACTTACAGTTTGACATCGGGGGAGGGGAATTCAATTCTGATGGACAAGTTAATTTTGCTTACTACAGTTGTTTTCTAGAGGCAAAACGAAAGAAAACGTGCTTTGTTCAAAAATGTAGAACATGAAGGCTTGGTAATAATCGAGATGATTAGAATAAAATGTCTGCAAACTGAAGTTGCCTAAATAAATGTCGAATTTAAATTACCTGCCAGGACTCAAGCGACATGTTTTCACTCTTCGATAAAGCTATACTAATTATACTAGTGGACTGTTCAATAGAACGAATCTCCAAATTATTTGTTCAGCAGTACATATATGCATATGCATATATACAACATATATTTAAAAAAGAGGTTGCAGGATTTATTTCTTCAAATATTGTTTCTAAGCATGCCCTTCCATTTGCAAGCTTTTTAAAACAAATTAGAAGTTTCAAGAAAGCGTTTTCAAGCAATGATTCTGCAAATGCTATCAAGTAACAAATTAGTAGTTTTTAAGAGCCCTCGTAGGTAAAAAATTACAGTTAATAAAATCTTCATTACGCTTAAACTAGTTGTTCCTTACTGGACATTAAAATTGATACTGCATGAAGAAAATTCACGATGAAACGGAAATTTGCATGAAAAGTAGGACACGCTGTTGTATGTAAATTAGAGGGGAAATATCGCTCTTTTATGGGATCGTATCAGAACGGTTTGCTCACTGAAATGAACAGGTTCTTTTTCACGAATCTCTGCACACTAACAATAACCTTTACGAACAAGATCCGAACCGATGAGGGAATAAATTAGCGGTTAGGAAGGATAGAGTGATGAGCAGAAAGAATCGGACGAGCAATAGGATGGAGAACGTTTAGAGAGTTTGGAGCGAAGAGAAAAAAGAATCGAACGAGCCTCGAGATCGGAAAAATCTACTCAATCAAATGCTAACTTCCTAAACTGATGTAGTTGCAATTGTTTAGTTTCTTTTAACTGTAGTCCCTAAAACCTCTTTTCTAAATAGAACTAACAGTAAAATTCCAGAACAAAAATTTTAAAAATAGTTCTGAAATAACAAAAATTAAACTGACTTTTAACAGGAAAGGATAAACATTCTTTTCTGCTCTAAACTGGGAACATAACTTTCCTGGAAAACTTCTAACAAGAGTTCAGCTGATTTTGTGAATCGAACTTTAGATCTCTATTCCTGGCACGCTTTCAACAAGAGTTACCCGTAAAAGAACTACAATTCGGGTTTTATAATTCAGAGTAAATTCGCACCGTTAAGTGAATTTTTTTCTTTGGATCGGTTACGGAGCGGATCTTCCAACTATAATTAAAATAATCAGCATTTGGCAGTACACGCACAGTACAGACAAGGGTAATGATACTTCGAAGCAACATTAAAATTCAGACTAAAACGACTACTTTTCTTTCAAGAATTGTCTTTAAAATCGTTATTTTTTTGTGATGGTTGTCGTGTCATATCTATTGCAAGAAAAAGGAACTCATACCGGCACGTCTCACAGTTCGATCGAGGAAGAATAATAGCTTAGAATCATATATCATAACGCACAAGTGCTCTTCGAGCTGATCGAGATCCGTTCACTGCTACGACAATTTTCAATTAATAGGCCCAGAAGGGCCCCACCGAGTGATGTACGAGATCTCTGCGGCTCTCACTCAAAAATGTTCGAGACAAGATGCATCTTTTAGCTACCGTGCAACGGCACCACGTACACTGGGTCTGTAAAATGTGTGCGCTGCATAGCAACAAATAACTATGCATATGGTGCGTTTGCAATGCAGTGGATTGTCAGCAAGGTGATCATAGCTTTGCTACGATAATTTGCGATAAGTGGGTCCAGGAGGACCACAGCGAGCAATGTACGAAGGTCAAGAAGGGTCACACCGAGAGATGTGCGAGATCCCTATGGTTCCCACTCAAGAATGTTCGAGACAAGAGACGTCTTGTACTTAAAAGACAACAGCAGTCTTATACTTACAAGAGACATCTATATCTTAGAGAGATTGTTCAACGCCACCACGTACTCTGGTTCAGAAAGATAGATGAATTGCATAGCAACAAATAACCACTCGTATAAAGCGTTTTCAAAGAAACAGATTGAGCGATGACCACGCTTGTAAGGTGATCATCACTTTGGCTACCCTTGACCGTACAGCATTCAACGAGGCTCATTGATGCATTAACGGCATGACATGGTCGTTTCTGAAGGATACCGCATTTGCTTCTAGTATGCTGATTGCTGTATTCAGAGTGGTGAAGTAAGCGAAAGAAGCGAATGTTGGCAGCTTTCATTCTTTAATTGTCATTCCCATCTAGCACCTGTATTAATGAAGAGTTGTGCAATCAGAAACTTATCCCTTTCATCTCTAGTCCTCATATACAATACTTTGACCAGCTACGGCTACGTTACTGATACTTTTAAAATAGAGGATGTCGGGTTTCCGAGGCTCGAACATTTCATAGAATAGTGCGAGTCTGCATATTACCCATTCTATAATCCGTTTCCTCAGTACACAGGATGTTAGTCTTTTGCATTTGCCGGCGCTTTCTCTGTATTTCTCATCATCTGAAAACGTCTGGTCACAGACTACAGAGATTTTGGCATGAAAATACTCGCCGGCCAGTGAGACAAATTAACGGTGACATGCAATTGAATCCGCATGGACTGCAATACCCGTTACTACCATTTTAATTGCATGCCTAGAAAAAGTGTAAGAGCTGCTATTGCTGCCATATACGAATATCGAGGACATTGATTTCTGTACTCTCTGTACCTCAAAACTGCATCAGGTTTTGATCCTTTCATTCTTTCATTATAATGTATTTATAAAGTAAATTTGAATTTCTAATTGCTTTCCTCCATTGTGTAACAATATTAGTGCTCAGCAGTGTACTA